CCTGTTGATTAAAAACTGTCGTAGCGAACAAATTGCAAAATAACAGGTTCAGCCCTGAAAAGAAACTAAAGTTTCGTCAGCACAAAAAGAACAATATAGTACTCTAAGGTATGACACATCTGGGCATGTTTACGAAATTGTTAAAATTCCCTAAGCTCACTCTAGGGTGAAAAAATCGTGTCGCTTAAGCATATTTTTTCTTCATTGCCAATAGCTCATGATGAACTTTACATTATTTTTTTTTTATCCCAAGAGCTGGGTAAAATATCAATATATAGAATAAATTACCATAACAAGTAACAATAATTTAAATCACCCAGAAAAAAATCTGTTAAAATCGCTTTGAATAGTACTACAGCAAAGTGTATGTTTCCCCAGTGACACAAGTGAATTTAATTTGTTTAGCTCCAGAAGTAGTTGATGGTATATTATATTTCGCAGCACCCTGTAATTCTCGGCATGCCACGCCCACTGCCAAACAACCACATCACGTGATAACATGTTTGGTCTGTCAATCAGGCTATATTAAGCGAACGCTACAGTGTGCTGCTTCGAAATCGAATTTTATAAACATACAGATTATACACGTTTGTAGCAGAGAAGCGATAATTAAAGCTTTAGATTAAAATGCACAGATTCAAAATGGAAACAGCTTCTTCCGAATATTCGAACCAGTGGTCGAACACTCAAGTCAATGTAGCCTTATGTGGGATATCGGGTTCAGGGAAATCTCAGTTCATCAACACAATTCTTGGACTGAGGGCTGACGACCCTGGCGCGGCGCCCGTAGATGCCTTCGGTTCGCAACGTAACATTGGGCAATACAAACACCCAGAGCAGCCAGGCCTTATTTTCTGGGATTTGCCTGGAATTGGAACTGGTAAATTTGACAAAGATAATTATTTAGAAGCAGTTAACTTTGACACTTATGATTTCTACTTGATATTTGGACAAGGAAGGTTCTATGAAGAAGACGCGTGGCTCGTTAAACAGGTCAACCTTAGACGTAAGCATTTCTTTTACATTCGAACGCATATTGACCAAGACATAGCGTCCATGAAAAGAGGTGACAAAACATCTGTCGAGGAATCCTGCTTAGATACCGTAAGAAATGACTGCAAGACGCAAATTCAAAAGGTTGGCATTAAAGCGACCCCTCCTCGGGTCTATTTGATATGTTCACGGTTGCAGGACAAAGACCAATGGGACTTTCCCAAGCTGAACGCGGACATGCTTCAGCTTCTTCCTCGAATAAAAAAAGAAACAGTTGCAGTGGCTGTATCTGTGGCTTATCCTTCCGCCATCAGAGTCAAAAGCCAAACCCTGCGCGATAATGTCTGGCGAACTGTTTTTCTGTCGGGGATATTAGCCGCGGTTCCTGTTCCGTTTCTTCCCCTCGTCGTTGAAGTTTTCTTAATTTTACGGCAGATAAAAACTTTTACAAACACTCTCACACAAACAGAACTTTCTTGGAGACGTTTGGGTCTCACGAGCTCATGGAAATTTCAAGTTGCAGGTGTTGGCAGAGTTCTTGGAGAGCTCTTAAAGTTACACCTCTTCTTCATGGTGAGCCCGTACTCTGTCCATGTCACCGTGTTTGGGTGTGCATTGGCGGCATTTCTGTCTTATCGTATGACAGGTTGCATACTACGCAGGGGTTTGAAGATTATCGAGGAGGAAATGTTAAATATGTTAAAATAATGTTTCAAACATTGTCGAAAGACGGGTTTTCTATATGAAAGGAATATTATATTAAATAACATCATTTTAGATAGATTGTAATTGCATTCTAATTCAATGTGTTATTTCCTTTTATCGATAAATGTTGTTATTCATTTATATTGAAATTCAGATTAATCAGTTTTATTGATATTCTTTGCATTAAGTGAATATCTATGTGGACTGTAAAATTAACATTGCTTTATTTGTCTTGGCTTAGTATATTACGAATTGGTACATTGTGTTCCTTTTTTAATTTCTAATAAATGTACTTCGTATTTTCTCTTTCCTTTTGAGTTGAAGATAGCTAAATCTTTAGCCCTCGTATACAAAATGAAACACGTGATCAATACGATAAGAAAATGTTGCGCAATTAAGGATATCGTACCCTACATTATCATTCAGATGCAGAACGTGAGTGTTTTCACTGCATCAAATTATTCAATAATGCGCTTATCTTTGTGCTGATTTAAAACAATGAAACAATCCTGGAAAATATACTATATCGCCGTTTATATTTGTCTGTTGCAATGTATAAGCATAGGCAACTCAAAGCTTTAATCGTCAATTTAACACTTTTCTAGATAGCAACCGGTATAGGGCGTAGCTTCATCCGTTAACAAGATTTTATCACCAGGAGTTAATAGGCTACAATCCCATGCCGTCATTTTGGCTTAAATGTTTTTGTTATGGAGTTACGAGACCCTCATTAAACAGAGGTATTATTTTGCTTTACAAACGATAAAATCTTAACTAAGACTTTTAAGAAAGGGATTTGAAGTACTAAATGGTGCCACTAAATAGGCGCTAAAATGGTGACAGTTGCTGCTCTGGTAAAAGATACATTTTACAAACCAATTTTTCAGTTTTTACCAGAAAATCGCAATTATGAGATGACATATGTGTAAATGTTAATTGATTTAACCACTAAACTCTGAATATTTATTTAATGCCCAAAAGGATTTATGTACATGTAAGACAGTAAATAAGAAGTTTTTGGCAAATTGTGACAATATCCTTAAAACGTTCGAATAACAAAAAACATTTAAATCGTGTGGAATACTGATCATTCAGCAATATGATGAATATGTATTTGCGTGTCGACTTTTCTTAAAGGAGAATTGAGACAAATTTGGGTAATGGTGAATATTTATACCTGTGCATATAGCAGTATTGATGAAAATAACTGCGCACAAAATTGCGCTCTTTCATTTCTTAAGAAAAAAAAACTTTTTTCAGTTTGATTTCAGCACAACTACTAAATGAAAAATGCTTATATACTTATAAGCGGCAGCAGACTAATTTCAAAAAAAAAAAAAAAAAAAAAAAAAAAAAAAAAAAAGAGAGAGAGAAAGCAACATAGAACTGAATGTCATGTCAAATCTTGGCATATTTACAAGATATTTTAAGGCCATCTTATATCCATAGCTTCAGAAAAAGGATTCCGTTACGTTTATGATTTGAAAAGGAAATTTGATGCTATAAAATCAGCACAACTTCTGTAAAAGCAGTCAGTTCAAAAACCTAGGCATAAAATACAATAGCTTACACTACAGAGCGCGGTGTTTTTAATCGCTCATTGTATGCTAAAACCCTACAGGTTTGAATCTTCGGCTGGGGTCTGTTGATTAAAAACTCATAGCGGAGAAAGTGCAAACAGTTTTGCTCTCAAAAAGAATATCAATATAGAAGCTGAACTCTGAGCATGTTTTCAAGACTTGTTATGGCGTTTGTATTTAGTGTTTTTCCAATCTCAAGAGATGTGGAACAAATTTATATTATTAAAAAGGCAAAATATATTCTATGATGGAACACAGTTCGACAAAAACGGTAACAGTACGAAAGACAATACTTAGAGTATGATATATGTGAGCACATATAGCTAATTAAAAAACACAGGAGTGAATTCTCAAGGGGTCTGTTGATTTAAAATTTCGTAGCAGACGAACAGTGAAATTGTTATGAAAAGAAACACGAACGTTCCACTATTAGAAGAAAGCTATACATATATTGACACATATGAGCATGTTTTCAAGACTTGTTATGGCGTTTCTTTTCTTCTTTCTATGTCCCAAAGCTGCGTGAAATCATCATACCCCTTGCCTACTTTTTACGCTCCAATCAGTGCCTCTGAACAAAAAAAAAAAAAAAAAAAAAAAAAAAAAGATTTTATCTACAGTATGATTCTTTTCTACATATTCCTTCCCATGGTAGAACACAGTGTGATAAGATAAAATACAATTTCCTTCGTAATTTATGGTACATCATTTTATTTCTAATTTCAGTAGCGCATTTAACCATAAATCAAAGCGTTTGGTACAATTAAGATACGGAGCTGTTACATTAAGCTTTCTAGATTTAAATTGTGTTTGTTTTTCAATTAATAATTACACCTCTGACTTGATCTTGTTTCTATGACTAAAATTCCGAACCATTTAAATTAAATCGTAGGTACCGTATAATCATTATATTGATACGGTGCATTTATTTTTATTACTACTATTTTGCTATACAGGAAGTCGTAGGAGATATAGCAAGGTTAATAGCTACAATCAAGCTCACCATTCTTTCATTTTACACCAATGTGCTGAAAATGTCATAAATAAAATTTTATTAAGGTATAGGATTACCTAAACTCTACAATACACAAATTGAAAAATCAGAATTGACAATGAAGTTTATGTGCCCAGAGAAAATAAAATTAATGCATTAATTTATTTATTCCATTTTCATTGCAACGATTCTTAGGTCTAAAAGTGCAATGAGCGTGAACTGCCAATATAGTGTATTTTATCAAATACCACAGAATGTGTGCAATTTTATCTATACAGACGCATAATAATAATAATAATAATAATAATAATAATAATAATAATAATAATAATAATTATTATAAAGCACAGAATAAAACAATACTAATAAAATAATAATAAAACATTTCAAAAACGTCAAGAAGGAATGCAATGATCTAGCTATATCATACCCCAAAAAAAAAAAAAAAAAAAAAAAACAACTAAATGTAAGTTCATGTATTATACATTTTAAACAGTTAAAACGTTTGGCTAACAAGGCCAAATTAAAATACATTATTGTTGTATACACTTTTCTTTCTCCTTGCCGTTAATTTTCGTATTGACTGTACAACTTCCACCCGTTGTTAAAATAGGCAGAATCATATCTCGTTCACTTAAAACACTTATTCCGGCTAAAGACCCCATTGTCTTTCCAGAAGACAAGACTAAAAAAGACCTTACTAATTTTCGTGGATTCCGAATGTCAGATCACTTCTTACGAGCGTCATTATTTTGGAACGCTAACGTCGTTTTGATAACATCTATTGCAACCCTCTCCATGCGATCCAACATTTTTGGAAGAACAAACAGTGCCATTCCAAGGGATGCACCGCCGGCAACTGCCGAGGAAAAGACAAGGGCCAACTGACTACCAGGAGGAAAGGCAAATGAAGCACCCGCAAGTCCAAACATTGAGATGATTTCTTCGATCGTATTGCAAGCAGATATGTCAAAGCAACCCTTTGCCAGCGTCAATAATTTTTCCAAAGGGACCCCGGTTCGTTTGGAAAGGCGTTTAAGTGAGGCAACGTCTAACCCAAAGCTTTTTCTAACACGATTTTCTAGTTCAGTTAACAAAGACATATCACCTGGCAATGGTCCTCTAAACGGGTAGGTTGCCCCTGTGGCACCACAGGCCAAAGCATCCGGCAAAATACGTGATCTCCAAACAGCACTCTTCTCTTTCATCGAATCTTCTGAGAGATCCCAAAGGGCTAGGGTTAACACTTGACACTTTACGTCAGGAAGAGCATTTTTCATATCCTCCACCAATTTGCCATATTCCCACTTTTTAGTATCATCGAAATTTGTGGATATAACATAAACATACTCTGGTTTCTCCACTTGTTGACTTTCTGTTTTTTCTCCTTCTACATATTTCTTGACGTCTTCCTTTATTTCTTCTAGTAGTTCAAGCTCTTTGTATCTGCCAGGGAAATTCCTCTCACAAGCCATCAATTCACTGTCGAAGTGAGTACGCACAAAGAAGAATTTCTTTTTCATCTCTTTGACCTTGTTTGCTAACCACAAATCGTGGACAGTGAAGCGCTTATGTGTAAAGATAAGAAAAAAGTCGTACGTATCAAGTTCCGTTTGCTGGACATACTTTTGTTGTGTAAAATCTGGTGTTCCAACACCAGGGAGGTCCCAAATTTTAACATTTTCATCTAATGGAAAAGGATATGATATCGGTTCCATTGTTGTCTGTACAAAGCCAACTTTGGCAGCTCCCTCATGGAAAGCTCTCATACCTCGAATGGTATTGATAAATGAAGATTTCCCCGAACCAGATATGCCCGTTACAGCAATATTAATGTTGACATTGTCAGATTCAGTTAGTTTTCCTTGCAGGTGAGATACGAGGGGTTCTAGCCCATGCTGTTCAGCTATTCTCTTTGTTTCTTCAATGTAATACTCGTCGAAAGAAAATGCAGCGTCTTTCACATTTTTCGCCATAATCAATGAAGTAAACCACTCTTGATATGAGCCACCAAGACAGAAAAATAGCAAACTCCACATTTATTGTTATGTATGTATAGTTGAGGTTCGCAAGCAAAGTGACAGCTCTGGTAAGTTCACATTTGTTTTATATACAGTGTGGTTGGGCGGGTGCCAAAGCTACATGCGCACACAGTCCTGCCAAAGTTCGTACACTTTCCTCCAAAACTTCCCCTTGCAGTTGTGCATACGATTCCATTTGTGTGCATTTCTACAGGGCTTACACAACCAAAACATTTACATGTCCAATCTATTTTCACTAAGTATGAACGGTTGAACGGACATATGGAAATCGGAGATGATTGGCAACATTAAAAAGTGAAATGACAATTATATTTGTGAAGACCACACGGGCATGGCTTTCAGAGAGAAAGGACACCGGAAGTATCTTTGCTTTCCATAAGTACGTGCCTACATGTAGACGTAAAAGTTAACAGCTAGTACATGCGTCTTTTCGACATCATCAGTATTCCTTATATATTTTGCCACTGTATTTCAAATCATCACTCTGTCTCTGATTATACATGCAGTAGTTATCTTGAATGCTAAGGACGGTAATTTGTCATCGGGCGTATACATTAATTCGGTTTTTTTATTTTCATAAATTTCAACCTTAAAAGCAGAACAGCCATTAATATTTTTTTTTCTTTTAACTGACATATTTTGTTAAGAAAAATGAAAATATACAGTGAGTTTACGAAGTAACGTTAATAATGCCTCCCCCACCCATAGCATGAATATGAACGATTTCCATGCTATTAAAAATAACGCTGTAAAATAGATGATTAACAACAATGGTAGAAAAAGATGAAAATTGGAATTTCCTTTCCAGCAAGATCACATAAGACCCTAAATCAAATCATCAGCATTAGTCAAATATTTATTTGCATTCATGTGCTCTTTTAGATGTTTTACTAATAGAAAAAGAACTGCTTAGCATTTTACTTCGTGTCTTAACTTTACTGCGACACTGTACGCGCTCATTTGTCACAACGGATCAAAGGAAAATGAAATGATTGACGCGCTACGCAAAGTCACGAGATGCAGCTTCTTGCAGTAGGAGTGGCTTTCCAGGAATTACAGTCTTGCAAAAAATAAGCAATTGAATTAACGTGTGGTGTATGCAAAGATGAAAGTTGTTTCTGTATTCAGGTGAAGTATATTTGACTCATTCCAGAAAAGCACAATATCAAAATGCATTATTCTATTTTTATGAGAGAGAAAAAAAGCATGGTTAATTGAAGATGGTTCATGGTGCAAATCACCAAACACAGTTTACTGCCCCCACCAAGGCAGTTATTATTTTATAATTCCGTTTGTCTGTCTGTCTGTCTGTCTGTCTGTTTGTCTTTTTGTCTGTTAGCATCATAAGTAAAACATTTTGATGAAATATAAACTGTCAGGAGGGGGCCATTTAACAAACGATTAGATTGTCGTGGTGATCTAATGATTAATTGAATAGGTAAATAATAATGTCTGTTTGACTATTAGCAACATTATGCCAAAACTATGGACGCATTTTGATGGGAATTTCAGGATAGGCCAGAACTTAATAAAATATATTCTCTCCACGCGTTTGAAAATCCCCCACAGTCATAAAGTCAAATGGAATAAATCATCGAACGCAAGTGCAGGGGAGGGTCAAGCAATCGTGAATAGGATAAAAATTCGCTTTGGTGGGAAAAGCCCGTAGAGTTGGCCTTAAAGGCACACATTTGGTCTAAAGTTATTTTGTAAACAGGTGTGACAGGAATCGTAGTCCGCCGTAGACCGTAACTTTGCACACACCCTATATTATGACCCAGTTCCAGCTAACTCTATCCCGTATTAATCACAATAGACCTGTCACAACGGCCTCGTACCTGTATTTCAAACACATGCCACGTAATGTGTTAGAGAAGATAAGTCGCCTTCTTTACACTGTCGCCAACCTGATTGTGCCTAGTAATCACAACTGTCATATCAAAAGAGGCCTTCGTCCCTCTTCGCTCCGCTCCATTTTTTCAAAGATAAATAGGAAAATAAATAGCGGGCCACTACCAGATAAATCGGATCGGACCACCTGAGTGCGTATCTATAAAAGCCTAGGCCCAGTTTTATAAGGGACATTTAACACTAACCAGAGTTTAACTAGTTAACTGACCTTTAAATAATTATTTTTTCCATTTAAACACTGGCCACTAAACTAATTGGCTGTTTGAACACTGTGTATGAAACACATTTTAACCTTTCAGTTAATGGATGTTAGGAGAATTTATCCACTTCTTAGTGCTAAACGTCGTTTATAAAACTGGGCCCTGATTTTTTTTCGTTTCACCCCTACTTGATGAACAGGGAATCAACCCTGGCGCTAAAACAACTAAGACAAATCTAATCCTAGCACCTTGTGGATTTGTCAAATAGTGACACCTAAATGATTTTAAGAACAATGTTTTGTTATCATGGTAATCCTCAGTACACCAAAACATTTACATTTAGTAAACCAAGGCTGAACTCCAAGGCGGGAAGCAAGTTCTCTCGGGCGATGTCTGAAATCGCTATTCAAATTCCGATTAAAAAAAAAAACAAAACAAACAGCCGTTGCCTTTATCAGCAAATGCATTCAATATTCTCAAATAAATTGGGGTAGTATGCTGTCACACACTGCTGTCAACCTTGTCCTCGCACGATCCCCATTCTACCCAATAATTAAGTGACGTAGTTGAGACAACAGTATTTCAGGAACCCGAGACTGGATTAGCTCGACTAAATAACCATTTTTATTAAAAGGAAACGTTTTTACAAATATACAGAATCACAAAAACGGATAATTTGCTTGATTTAATGCTCTTTTTTGCACTGTTTTGTTCAATATATGCCAATGAAAAATCCACAGACAGTTATAACAGGTAGCTGTACTAATTCTTAAGGTGTTTTTGCTGGTTCGAGATTAAAAGTCTATAAATATTTAATTGAACCATTGCATTACATCATACGGATTGGTTCCAGAAGAAAGATATGAAGAAAGTAAGCTAAACCGGAGATCCTATACTCCTCTTGCAGTAAAAATAACAAACCACACCGCATAAAATATTTTCATTCTTTTGAACTGAAAAGTCCATAATCATGTTGTGATTTTTTTTCAGAATCGTGTCGTATTCCCCAAAGTGGAACATATGTATTACTGCCACATTTCCGCTTAGCAATGTATATCATATCTGGTGTGATATTCGACCCCTCCTGTAACAAAAAAAGACACAATCTGCAATAATAATTTACAATGTGTAAACAAAAAGGGATATTGGAAATGTTTGTTCAGTGAAAGAACCCAGTAGGGCTTGGTTTGTCAATTTTAATTAGACTGAAAGGCACCTGAGCAAAAGACAATGAATCGTGCGGGATTGAGGTGGTAATTAAGTTCATTTACACATACCCATACAACACAACGCGTGGCAATATTTGAATTGCCAGCTGACACCGGGACACGGCTTTCCGTCGTTAGATGGCGCTGGGTTATTGCACGCGCGCTTGCGCGTCTTGGCACATGTTCCTTGGTGACAACTTGACCACTGACCCCATGTTGACCACCAGCCGTCCACTACAACACGAGAAAGTAGATTTGAGAGGAAGGTAGAAAAACATTTTCTTTACTATTTGATTTTTATTAGGCCTCACTTTTTAATTTTTATGGATGACATCCTGCGCGCGCTACGATTTTCGTCCGTTCTCCATAAAAAAAAAAAAAAAAAATCCCCCCCCCCCCCAAGGAAGTCGGTCACATTTATATCTTTCATAACAAGGACTTCTTAATAAGTACATAGCCAGAACGTGCCTGTTATACCATGGTACTGATGACAGTGATTATCTAATTTTGGTCATTGACTCAACGTTGTTGTTTGGTCGTCGTGATGCAAGACATGGGTAGTAATTTAAAATATTAATATTTGTTTATCAACACTGCAACTATCAAAATATTTAAAAAAGTGTTTTAAAGTAAAAGTGACAGTTGTTTTGTTTCTTTAGTGAACTACTGAATTTTCTGAACTTATTATTCACATTCCAATAAACCTCCTTGCAAAGTCAGCTAGCACTGGGATGAATAAGTCGCTGTAAATGTGTCGAAGGGAAGATGACTGATATGTGTGTGTGTGTATCGAAAGTTTTTGACATGACAAAAACATTCGGGATGCCACAAGAATGGGTAAAAATATTTAGAATGCACTTGGAATTTTTAGAATGCTCTTTGAATATCCAGGAATGCACAAAAATTGTCTTTCCGACGGCATTCTTGCTCATTCCGCCTCTAGTGTGACGGGGGCATTAAAGGCCATACATATATACCCTACATATATTTAGCCATCAAACATCTCCTACTGCTAAACACAGCCAGGCTAAAAGGGTGTACCATGTTTAGGCGCAAAACATGCTTAGGAGCTTAAAGTGTTGAAAAAATCAGACAAAGCAGGCACTTGGATGTTTTTACACTGTACGTTATAATTGTGTACCTGTGTTTTGTACCAAAAATAAAAACATTTCAGGTCATTTTAATGTCTTATCAGCAAGAATGTTGTCTAACAACTGGGCTTGATACAGTGTTAGTATGTATCTTAGCAGCGTATTGGTTCTCTCCTATGATGTTCCCTCACGTCCACAACAATATCTGAAATCAGCAGGGTGGTGACCTCATTTCTGTGCAAGAATTCTCTCTGAACAGTACAGGAATGTGCACAGAATGAACTAGAGAAATATCTGTGAATAAGTAGTGAAAAATCTCTATGTGGCCCTTGTAGAGGGTAGTGAAGTGGAGAATATTTTTCATTTTATTTACCTGCTAATTGTTTATCTCATAGTAAAATTGATTTTTTTTGGTAAGCCAACGTTTATCCAACGTCTTATCAACATTATGGTTCAACGTTGTTTCAACGTTACAACAACATAATTTGCCCGCTGGGTAGTGAATGGGAGAATTTTTTTATCCC